CCACCGCTGCGCAGCTGGTCAGATTTGCAGGTGCAACAAGGGTACTCCCAAGCGTGGTGACCTGGTTTGCAAGTCTGGTTAAATTACTGGTTGCTTTCTCGGTAACGAGTGTCAAAGAGTGGAGTTTGAGGATTGCAAGGACGTGTGGTGGAGAAGTCTCTCATTCAAGGTTACATACCAGCAATCCATTGGACAACGTCCTGATACAATGAAATCTTTCGAGAAATTATCATACTCATAACCATGTTTAAGGATCTTCCACTCTCGTGCTCCTGCTGTATCGCTCACACCGTGTTTCTACATCATTTTTGCACGATTGCACGTTGTGCCTAATTCCTCCAAAGTTTCGGAGCTCCACTTAGCAACCTAGACTCTTTCTGAGGAACGTGGTGGCTAAGGTTGGTAGTTATCATATCATGGTTCCTTGGTATAGAGAGTGAGTACCCAGGTAGTTGCTGATAGCACGGCGCGCACGGACGCGGCAGGCGCGGAGGGGCCAATCGGAGTGGTCGTGGCTCAACTACTTACAATCATCAGATCTCTCCGCGACGCGTTCTCCACCTCACCTTGCGGGACTCATTATCGTTTTGATAACCGAATCTACATGCGATCCTATAGAACATATCAGAAAGCAAACAGGACGCCTTCGACTGGGTTCACCACGAGTTGGTCCGGAACCCCCGCTTTGACAAACGCTCCGCAGCACCTGACCCAGGCAACGAGCCAGCTTCAAAATGAGGGTTCAGCCTTGTCCCAGCTGCACTTCCAGCTGCGCACACCCCCGGGGAAGACGGCGGCGTGTCATCCGTCCCTGCAGTAGCAACTGCGCGATTCCCATTGACTGACACCCCACATCGACATCAGCCAAATCAACTTAGGATTCTGCTTAGGCCCCAATACATCAACAGAACTATCCAGACGCTGCTAAAGATCCTCCGCTACTGACCACAAACTGCGCGTGATACTGCGCTGTATCCGTTTCCCTCTAACATAAAGGCACCACGCCGCACCACGACACCAAACTGCAAGCGACTCTGCAAGCCTTCTTGTGGAAGGAGCCATCTATCGAACAGGATATCCCAAATCATGGCCGCTCTTACTGATCTACCTCCAGAAATCCTAGAGCAGATCTTCCATTTCCTCGGAAGCATCGACGACGTTCACCATTTTGGACGCACATGCACAAAAACCCACAAAGTCATTCAACATCGCAAAATCTACCTTGAGATTATGCGCTCGATCATCTACTCAAACCCCCAACACCGCTACGACTTCCAGCTCAACAGAGCCTTGTTCGTCCATTCCAAAATCGTTGCGCACTTTCAACACCACGTGTCGCGCTTACCCGCCAGCCAACCTGGAACCAATAAGAATAACTGGGAGCATTATCTAAACAGTACGGCTAATGCATGCTGCTCGCCACAAGAATGGACAGATGATGCAATCTATGATGTGCTAGCACGGTACCAAGGGTTACGCGTGCTGGAGAACACGTGGATGGAAAGGGAACTCCAAGAGCAGGACTTCCTGTCTGTAGATCACACATCAGATGCTCAGCGGCTCGTGCATCGATTTCAAACGCTCGTTGGCCGTGGCGATGAGTTCGCATACGACGATATGCCTCCACGCAATCCGGAAACGCCACACACATGGGCTTATCGCAGTCTCAACGCCGACCAGAGAGGACGATTTTATGCCGCGGTGGTGTGCATCTGGCTTCTGAACGAGATCAGATGGGTGTTGACCCATTTTAGCTATCCAGCGAACTTCACTATCCAGATTGGGATCTTGGAGTCGTGCAAGAGCAGGATTGCAGCAGAGAAAATTACCCCACTCTTGGATGAACTGGACCGTCATGCTGTGTTTGCTTTCATGTATCAGCATGTGCTTCCACTTCATGCCTTAGTCCTCGCCGACACCAGTTCCACGCAACTACCCTTCACATTTGTCTCCGACTTCTCCAAGGACATGGCTCACTGTCCTAGGTACGTGTCCCGCATCAACAATCCCATCTCATGCAATACCCGATCGTATATGTACTAACCACCGCGACAGACTACTCCAGCTCTTCCTAATGTCAGGTCAAACCTACTTCCAACCCCCCGACCTAATCGACCTCATCGTCCGCTCCAAGGCATCCCGCCGCCTACCTTACACCCGCCTCCACACACCCCGTTCAGTCATGCTATGGAGACACCCTCGACGAACTCACTTCCAGCCCCACAACGACCTCTGCCTTGAAATCAACAAGGCGCATATCCAGCATAATTCGATGCGGCATCTCACGCTCATCACGCGCTCTTCCTTCCACCAACACCGCTACGATATGAGTCAAGGGCTTGTTCGTGCTCCAGCGCTTGGTGAGGCGTTGTTCAGAGTACCGGATCACGCGAAGCGGTATTTTTATGATCGGGCTATGGTGGCGTTTGAGATGTGGGAGACGAAGCGCACGGGGTTGAAGGATATACGGACTGTGTTTCCTAAGAAGTGGGAGGAGATCAGGTGGTGCATTTGGTGGTGGGCGGGCAGTGAGGAAAAGGCAAGGATGAAGATGGAGAGGTTGAGGGAGACGGTGGGGTCGCAGTAGCGCGAATCTGTGCCGCAAAGTTCCTTACGGGAAAATGCAAGAGAGCCTGTGACTCAGGTATTGGAGTCTTCTGGTACTGGACTCATTTTGACGCGGGATGTGCACGATAGTAGAGGTTCAGGTGAAGCTGTAGTCAGCTCCCCGTATACGCGTACCTGGATATCCTGGGTACATAGCGGTTACTCATGGTGCCGAATATCGAACGCGAAAACACAAAAATACAAAAATACAAAAGCAGCTCGGCAACTCCGACAACTTGAGTCGTCAGCAAAAATGAGTTTCCTGTTGCAGTTTGCATTCGCATCGATCGTGTCCCATCATGTGACGTGACTATTTCCGGGTATGTGGACTAAGACAGTTGCGGGCCGGAGCGAAGGCAGTGTGGCTGGGATTGTGGCTGTCGTCAAAAGGAATCATCGATCTAAGGCCCGAAACTTCTAAGCCTTAGGCCTGAACATTTATGAAATTAGATCAGGGCAGCAATTATGACGCAGCTTCTATCGATCATGGATGATACCTGAGATACGCAGGTTAGGCATCCTTTTGACATCATTGTGGCCTGCTGTTGCTGGACTATGTTTGAGGATGACTCTCAATTTACGCGTACTTGGATGCCGAGGCGCACTCGGCCTCGAGGTGTGGCGGAACGTCCAAACCCCATGGCATGAACACCATGGCGACGTTGACGTGCAGCAACACGCGCCTTGGTCTTGCTTCATAGAGTTAAACCATTTACAACAGGATTAGCATCCGCAGCTTATCAGTTCCAATGCATCGGGTACAGCGGCTAGGATGGGTGAAGACATAGTGGTGCTCTTGGTAGAGCGGAGAAGGTGGACAGTTGAGGACTAGCTGGCCAGGCATAACTATGAAGGCTTGTATATCGCAGACAGACAATACGGACTGCTAGGAGCTCGCGGCAGAAATCGGGAAGGTCAATGGCCGGTATTCCGTTTTCCCGTAGGCACAGGGATCGATAGATGGCTCGCTCGTGCTGCCGACCATTGGCATAGGAACGTGAAAGTGCCGGCACAACACGGCCCTCACCGAGGCGCCCGATGTCCCAAGATCCAAGGCCAATTGGGTGCAAGCAGGTGCGCTGACATGAGCAGACGGCGAGATTTGCTGTTTGTTGGAGCGCAGGCAGCCATGTATAAAACAGCTTTTGGCAAGTGAGGGGTCGAAGATACTCGCGAGACGTCATTGGCGTGTAGAAGCGCGTCAACTGCGCTGCTGGAAAGTGAATGCAGAACCACGATGAATGCGAGGGTTGTCAACGCAGATGCAGCCATAGAACAGGCCAGCGACCTGTCAGCTGCTAGCAGCTACACGGCGGCTCTCGGGCGCTGGGCGAGGGAATGGTGAATGCGCCGAAGTAGCGTGGGCTGTCGGGTTCTCTTAGAGCACCACCTTAACGAAGAAAAATTCGCGCTTGAGAGTGACCCTCTTTCTCCCACCTACGCTTGCTTCTCCCGCACACACGACAGTCAATTTTCTTGCCTGGCGCCCCGTCTGCCTTGATCACGTCGCATCCGACCCTCAGACGCCGCCTCAGCCCGCTCCGTCGCTGTTGCACGCACGCCAGACGAGCCTGTACCGCAACCCTCGTGTGCCTGGAGCCCGTACCTCACTGCACCCTCCAACCCTCATTATCCGCCAAAACCCACCGCCCACCCCGAGCACTCCGCCGACGCAGTCACAGCTGCCCTCTCTGCGCGCCTGCCCACCCCGCCGCCCACGCAGACTCGCTCCAGAGGTTAGTTCCGCCCACAGCACCGCCCACGCCCGCCGCACGCTTGCTTCCTGCCCTGCTCCCCGCCTCGAGTTTGCTCGGCACGCTGCGCAACACTCCTCCCCTTCTCCGCCTTGCAGCCTCTCCCAGTTGCGCTCTGGCTTTCACTCGCGCTCCTTCCCGCTTAGTCCTCGGCGGCCCACGCAGTCATTTCGACTTGTCGTGCGCTCGCTCCCAGTCCTCCACCACAACTCCCCACGTCACTTGTTTCCACCACCACGCCTCATATGCTGCCCACACTGCGCTTGTAGCACCTCTGTACTTCGCTAACCCCAGTCACTGCAGTACGCGCAATTACCGTCACCGTCGCCAAACAGTAAAGTAGGAAGCATTTACTTTCCTCACATTGTGCGAGACCGCCTCGGTACAAAGCCCTCGTCCAGCACACTGCCCAGCTCTCCATCAGTGCAGAGCTATATCGTCGCCGCACCGCTTAGTCGTCAACGCAAGGCTTGGTAGCAGCAAAGAGATTTGCGTGCGGGGAGGTCAAGAGCAACCTCTCCGGACATACCAGCGTCAACACCTGTTGGCCAGCTTGCCGCAGCGCTCCCATCGGGGACCCTAAGCGCTTACCCTCGTCTTACCAGCCGGACTTTAGTCGAGATCCACACAAATTCCAAAATGGCCTCCACATTTTCATATGCGCAAGCCGCGAAGGGCGTCGTCACGCCTGCCACCACGAGCAAGTCGGCATCCGGCTCTGCTACACCAGCCAAGGACGGCAACGGCGCATCTGTCCCAGAAACTAGCGCGTCACCCAGCAACTGGGCCGAAGACGTCGAGTCTGAGTCGCGCCCTGAGCAGCCTGCGAAAAACCGCGAGGCGCGCACAGAGCAAGCCGCACCCAATGTGGTCAAGGTTTCACAACCCGTAGATGCCTCCAACATATCCTCGCCGGATATGGGAGCCTCCACTTCGTCGACAGTCACCAAGGACGACGATGTTTCCTCGATACCGAACACCTCCTCTGAGTCGACCACCTGGGATAACAAGTCCCAGGCCTCCACCTCGGTTGATAAGTCGGTTGAGCCAGTCGAGAAGACTTCTGACAAGGTCAAGAAGGCCAAGAATGTGCCTGCTAAGCCCCTCCAAGAGGCGCCTGTACCGACTGTGAACCCTTGGAAGATACGAGCGGACACGATCAAGTCTCAGGTGCAGAAGGTTGCGCCTCAAACAACCCCCAATGGAGTGTCCCATGGGGCAAACGGAGTTCAGGCCAAGAATGGCGACTCAAAATCTCAAGAAAAGATTACAAACGGCGAGAGCAGAAACAAGGGACGAAAAGAGTTCAAGGGTGACCTCGATGTGAGGAACGGTGCTAAGGGCAGGTTCCCCGAGAAGGATGCCAAGGCAGCTCCGGCTTCGAGCGCGCTGCCTCCTCCACCGAACCGCGACCAGGAGTCATGGCCGACTCCCGAGACCGTCATCGACGAGGATCGCAAGAAGGCCCAAGAGAAGGGCGAGAAGGAGCAGAAGGAGCGCAAAGATGGCGCTTCGACTAGCAAGCACGAGTGGGTGAAAATCCCCTACACACCAACAGTTGTGTTCAACACGCCTCTGCCAAACGCGGCAGGCGCCAGGAGAGGTGGCCGTCCTGGAGGACGCGGTGGAGCAGTGAACGGCGGCAGGCCTACTAGCTTTGGCAACGGTGCTGAACAGACCGAGAAGGATGGATTCGCACCGAACGGCGAACAGACGAGGCGCGAGCGCGCTGAGACAGCTACCCAGGATGCGTCTCCCAAGTCAAAGCGTACTGGTAGCGCAGATGCCCCTGCACTTAACGGCCAGGCCCCTGTAGTCAACGGCGACGCCGCTGGCAAAACCGCTGGCCCTGTACCCTCCGAGTCTGAAGCGCAGCCCAGGCGATCGTCATTGTCCAACGTGCCCGCTCAAAACGGCGCTTATCAACGTCAGTATCCCACCAAGCCTCACAAGGGTCGCCGAGGCGAATTCCACGGTGGGGAGCGAAGGAGAGATGGCGCATCCTCACCTACCAAGGATAACACCTGGGGTGAGCGTCAAAATTCTGCTGGAACGCAGACAGACGCCGCTGGAGATGGTGAGCGTAGAGCGCATACCTTCCAGGACGGCTCCTCGCATGGCCATTCCAAGCGCTTTAGTTCGTTCTCTAACGGCCGCGAACGTGGCCGTGGAGGCCGTGGCGGCCGTGGAAACTACACCAATGGACACCACTTCACCAACGGGCACTCCACGTCGAGCTTTCCCTTGGGCCCACGATCGCCCACGACCTTTGTACCTGAGAGCAACAGCTTCTTCCCCGCGCCTCACGGCAAATTCGGTCGCAACAACCACCGTTCACAGTCATTGACCACCGATCCATACAGGTATCCACCGTTCCAGCCCGGGTACCCAGCTCCTATTCAAACGTCGCATGAGATGTATCCTTATGGCATGCCTGCGCCCATGAGCGCTGGATTACCGTACAGCCCATACGGCGTCGATCAGTACTCGGTCTTCGCTATGATCACGACCCAAGTGTATGCTTTTTTCCGTCCGTCACAAGAAACATGCTAACAGATTACTAGGGAGTACTACTTCTCTGTTGATAACTTGATCAAGGACTTGTACCTACGTCGCCACATGGACTCTCAGGGATTCGTTGCTCTTGAATTCATCGCCGGTTTCAACCGCATCAAGAGCCTGTCTCCTGATATCGACATGATCAGGCTCGTCTGCCAACAGTCTGCCACAATCGAGTACCGCACCAGCGAGAACGGCCAGGACCGACTACGTCGCAAGGAAGGCTGGCAGCAGTGGGTTCTTGACATGGCCGAGCGTGATCCGTCTGCACAGAACGAGGGACCAAAAGAGCTGAACCAGCCTCAGGTCTCTCGCCCTGCGGGCTTCGATCCATCCAACCCTCCTCAGTGGTCGGCCATGTCCCCAGCATTCAGCCCGTTCGGTAACGAGGGCGCGTATCCCCAAATGAACGGTTTCCATCCCGTTGCCCAGGATGCCGGTTCAGTGCCGGCGGAGACGAATGGCTTGGCTGCCGAAGAAGTGAACGCGGCCGTCTCGAATGGTCACCCAATCGAGAGCTCGACAAAGGCTGTGAGTGGAGATATTCCTGATTCTTTTTCCGACTTGCAACTCGACAGCTTGACAGTCGTCATGCGCAAGCAACCCCCATCGCAAATGTCGTTGCCTCCTTCCGTTTCCCGAACGTTTTCTAATGGCTCCATCGATAGTAAACATGGCGTGCCAGATGAGCCGGAGAAGTCAATCACCTGCCAATTAAGGGTCAACGGTGCCGGAATGTCTGATGGGTAAGTTGCCGTCTCAGAGGACCTGAATGTATGCGCTAATCACGTCGATAGTAGCCCTGAGAGCCATCTTTATCACCCACAACCCGACACCGACCCGTTCCGATCGACTTCCCCAATCGCCCCTGTTCGCCTCTATTGGGTCAAAGATCACCACAGCCCGGTTCACACTATCCCTTCTGATTCATCGCATGAATCGTATTTTCACCTTCGATCCAAAGCTCTTCATCAGCGTTCCAACGCACCCCTCGGCACAACCCCTTACGACATGAACGTTCTTTACCAATTCTGGTCGCATTTCTTGATTCGGAATTTCAATCAATCAATGTATGACGAGTTCCGCCATTTGGCTTTCGAAGACGCCGCCCACCGGAGGACGGATACTGGCATTTCCAATCTTACCAAATTTTACGGCGAGTCTTTGCTTTCGCCACAGAGCGTGATTCGACAGCGGGTAGCTTCAGACTTTGTTGAACTCATCAGGACCGAAGACGAGCGACGTCCAGCTTTCGATCAGCTGAAAGCAGTTTATCGCAGCGGTAGCATGGACCCTCGAAGCCGACAGCGTATTGATGATTTGCTTGATGCAGATACCTTGGCTCTGTTGACACCGCCATGATGCTCTCAGGGTGCTGTCTCAACTCTGTCGTATGAGCCAAGGTTTTTGCATGTCTTCGTCCCGGTCTTCGGTCTTGTTGCTTCTCATCTTCCCCTTGCGAGTTTTCGGACTGTGTATACATTGACAAAAAGTTCATGTTCTGGCGTTTTCTACCCGGTCGGCGGCCGACCAAGTGTTTTTTCCTCCTTCGATAGAATGCCCTTGCGTCTCGGAAACCTTTTCCTTTAATGTTCACACGAATTACCAATCCCACAATACGAAATACCCTTCTCAGGAATATCTGGCTTTTCCCCTCTTTTTCCTGGATCTAGGGGCCTCGTAGCATTGAAAGCTGGCGTTTTTGTGTGTGTGTCTACCTTTTGCATGTTCATCCGACTCAGCATACAAAACTCGATGGCAGCTTTCTCTCCCCTCAGGCATATATGGTAATCATGTTCTTCCTTTACTTATAGGTGGATGTGGTTGCTTGGGAGTCTTGTTTTCCATGAAGCAAAGTATATAAGCGGATGTCAGGTCTGCGGATGTGGCTTTTGCTTTGTAAAAGTACGAAAATGAATACCTTCTGTTCCTGGTTTTGAGCTTAGACCCGTATGGTGGAATCTTACCTCCGTCTTCCAGGTGTCGCAGGGTGATACGCTCATGTATCGTGAAGTGGTTGCTGGTGTCGAGTCGCAAGGCTACTACTCCGATTCCGGTGCTCTACTTGAGTCGCTACCATTCCATTCCTCACGAGAGATTCGCATCCGGGCACACTCCGCCAGGCAACAGCAGCGCAACATCACTAAATCACTGCGCTATCAATCAAACGATGCCTCGAACGTACAATGGTAGTTTACAGGCGGAGAAGATCAGGCTTCACTTCACTTGAAACGAAAGCCAGGGTGCGGTGAGTGAGTTGGCATGTGATCGTCGTCATTGCTCGGCGTTCCAGACCAACGGTGCCGATCGGTGGCGACATTGACCCTGCGCCTCATTAACGTCGCCTTCCCCACAGTTCGACGCATCACCACTCTCTCCTCTCTTGGAACACACAATCATCATGGCACCTGCCGTGGTGCACCTGTATAATTCGGTGGCCAAGAATGCGAGAGCGTTCAAGTAAGTTTGCAACACTACCCGAGGAGGTCGCGTACTGACAGACGAAGGGCTGCCTGGAAACATGCTGCGAAACTCGTACAGAAACAACTACCAGAATCCGCACGACCTGCCGATGCAGTACTGCAACCTATCCTCGCTCGAAATGCTCCAAAGCACCCTCTTCACCGCATTGCATACCTCAAGCAGAGCAAGGGCCGATGGTACACCACCCACAGCCAGATCAGCGCCGCCGTCCGTCGCTTCACCACCTCTGCAGCTCGCAACTCGGGCGTGAAGTATGACAAGGCCTCCTTCCCCAAGTCACGCATTGGGAGTATCGTCAACGCCCAGGCTGGCCGCGCACCCTTCGCATCGACCCTCCGCCCGAACCTTACCGGCGGCGCATTTGGACGAACTGCAGGAGGCTACGGCTGGGGCTCTGGCAGGGCCGGAGGCGCGCGTTACTTCTCCCATGGACCTGCATCGCCTGCCCAAGTCATCAACAACGTCTCCCAGGCTGTGCGAGCGTTCCTCGTCGGTGGACAGAAGGCTCAGTTCGATGGCGTCAACCCTCACAACGGCGAGAAGCGCTTCAAGACTGTGTCCGCGCTACAAGACCAAGTCAACCGTACGCTGAACAAGGTTCCCAAGGCCACCCCTGGATCCTACATCAGCTTCAACGTTAACCCCACCGTCACCGCTCTTACTCCCCTCAAGGCCGTCAAGGGCTTCACCTCGTTCGCACAGGAGAAGGAGACACTGAACAGCGAGGGTCTCCTCGATGTCCTGTCCGTCGACTTTTCAAGAGCTGTCAAGGAGCTCGCAGCCGTTTTGAACGACCTGCAACGACTGGCGGCACTAGGCGATCTTCCGATCTCGTATGAAAACTCGGTTCTAAAAGTACACTTCCCTGGCTGCGATGCGCAAACAGTGGAGACGATATGCAACGACTTTGAGGTCTCCAGAGGCGCAGTTCATCAGGATGCGGACTTTGACTCTTTCGTCGGCACCGACATCGCGCTACTCTTCCCCTTCGCACCTAGCCAAACACCCTCCGAATGTTCATTCTACGACAAGCCCGTTGCCGAGCGCCAACACGTACAACCGAACATTGACTGGACACACATGCTCTCGCCATCGCTCGCGGCTTCAGAAGACTTCTCCACCCATTCGGAACAAAGCTACGACCAGCTAGACGACTTCGAGACTGAGCCAAACCCGTGGTTATCTTCTTCGTCGCCTTCAGGATACGACAGCTTGCATACTAGCGAGGCTGATGAAATGGACATGCACACCCCGTTGGAATACCAGGGCGTTGAAGGCATGTACAGGTTCATGGCTCAGTGCGAGTCGCGGTAGATGGTTGTAGGAATGCGTTGACGAATGATGATACCTCTTGGCTTAGATTGCTAGAATAGCGTTTTGGACATTTTCCTCTCCTTTGTAGAAATATCAATAAATTAAACAACATTGAAATGCTCGACTATACGATGTGTAACGGTCATCAAAGCTATCGCAATGATGCCGTACACTAGAATGACCAGCCCGAACCAGGACCAGACCGCAGTCTGAGTCAAAGGCGCACTCCATTCATTCTGAATCCGTAAGAGTTTAGTACAGCAAGACCAAGAGTCATTATGAGCATGGATGATTCATCTCGACTCACGGTGCTGACAGGCGACATCCGCATGCGCATCTGCATCACTATTATCATCATCATGCCAGCTAGCCGAGCGGCATGGTTCCGTCTCTGCATTAACCGGAAGAGGCAGGGCCTATCGAGCGGTTTAACGTAACAAGCTCGGGTTATGAGTTTATTTCCGGACAAGGGCGCAAGATGTCGACCTCCACTTTTTTTGCTTGCTTCCTTACGCTTCAACCGAGGAGGCGCAAACATGACTCCTAATATGTTCGCACACGTTTGCGAGCTGGAATCTGTGTGTGTCTTGGTGCGCAGAAGTGTGTAGGTGATTGTTTTACGGATTGAAGTGATTGAAGAGATTGGAACGAGCGGGATTGTGCGATTGAGAGGGATTGTGCAGTGTGATACCGTATTCCCGGGAGAAGGCGAAGACGAAGAGAAACGGACGAACGAAGACGAGTAGGATTTGGCAAGCGTGAAGATGGAGATGAAAGCACCGCAACGGGAGAAAGAGGAAGAAGTCAATGGACACGTAAGAAACGACATGTCAACATCGGAAAAGAGCATGGTTATTGCAAACCCGCAGCCGGATATCGTACTCCACCACTCCACCAACACTCCACAATCCATGCCAGACACCTCGCCAGTCCATCAACAACCTCAAGCACCAAAATCAAACAAGACTGCCTCTCCCCCGGATACTCACCCAGTCGACGTCCCCCCCAACGGCGGCTACGGCTGGATCTGCGTCGCCGCCGTCGCAACCATAAACGGCCACACCTGGGGCTTAAACTCCGCCTACGCCGTCTTCCTCGCGCACTACCTCTCTACCTCCACATTCCCGGGCGCAACACCCCTCCAATACGCCTTCATCGGCGGGCTATCCATCTCCCAAGCCCTCATCGTCTCGCCCGTAGCCACATACACAACCCGCCGCTTCGGCACCCGAACCACCCTCTTCATCGGCGTGTTCTTCGAAACCGTGTCTTTCATCGGCGCGTCCTTTGCGTCGTCTATCTGGCACCTTTTCCTGTCCCAAGGCGTGTGTTTCGGATGGGGAATGGGTTTCCTTTTCGTGGGGTCCGTGGGCATTGCGGCGCAATGGTTCACCACGCACCGTAGTCTGGCGAATGGGTGTTGTGCTGCGGGGAGTGGGCTGGGCGGGCTGATATATAGTCTTGCGGCGCAGGCGATGATTAGGGATATCGGGTTGCCGTGGGCGTTTCGCACGCTGGCGGTTGTGGCGGGCGTGGTGAATAGTGTTTGTGCGTGCGTGATTCGGGATCGGAATAAGGAGGTGGGGAGTAGGCAGGTATGTTCGCTGTTTCTGTTCTTTTTTTGTCGGTGGTGATATGTCTGCGAGCATACAACGTGGCTTGTATCCTCCAACGCACATCCCAAGCACCAGCTCGAGAGCTCCATCACAATCAACTTCGACCTCGTACTAACATCCTGATAGGTCAGCTTCGACTACACTCTCTTCAAAAAGCCCCAGTTCGTCGGACTCCTCGCATTCGGAGTATTGAGCATGCTCGGCTACATAGTCCTCCTCTTCAGTCTTCCCAGGTACGTTATTGCCGTACAAAACACCTATGAGATATACACTGACTCCTCCTCCCCTCTATAGCTACGCCCGCACAATCGGCCTAACCGCCAACCAAGGCAGCAT